GGAAATGTTTCTTATATTCTAACACGCCCCATCACGTGCAAGCATAGTCTTTTTTCGAGCCTCGCTCGTGAAACCTTAATTTTTTTGAAACTGGGTGGCGCTGAGTTTCAAACCCGTGACCTCTTAGTCAACAAGGCTTTAATACCATGTCAAGGAACCAATTCAACCAAAAGCTCAAGCTTATAGTTGTGGCTCAGGAAATGTTTCTTATATTTTAACAGGGATTACACTCGCTTATTTGGAGTTTTTCCGATGCTTCTTTCACAAAATAAATAGTTTTTGCCCCCTAACTCCCCTAAACTCCCACGGCACCCTCACCTCCTGCAACCACTCCAACCGCACCCTAAACTCTCCTTTTACTCTTCCAAATGTGTGGTTATTATGCAAGGGGGACTTAGGATGGGAATAAGGTGAGGGCAGGGGTAGGGGTGGGATGGGAGATTTAGGGAGTGAGTTAGGAGCGGTAAAACTATCAATTTTACGAATGAAACACCAGATGTGCTCTAAAAACGCAGTGGCACCGCTAGTGACACTGTTGGCCATCCAAATCCTCCCATCAAATTTATTATTTACTTTTATTTGTCCAGAATTAATAGGAGATTTTCTGTATTACACAAAATAAAATTATGATGAATTACTTAATTAAAATAGCTTAAAGATAGAGTATGTGCATTGTTGCCATAATAATGATAATAATAATGATAATAGTAACAATAATAAGAATAACACATATAATGCTATTTAGGAAAAGTCATTATGTTTTAGTGCTATTTTAGTAAATTCCTCATATCGATAAGAAATAAAAATTACATATTAAAAAAATACGTCAAAAGTTCTACAAAACTAAAAAGAATATTTTATTTTATCAAATACTTAATAAAATCACGTAAATAAACAAAAAATATCGAAAGAAGAGGAAAAAAAAATGGTGATATAATTGGAGACGGAGACTATAAAAATTAGACGGGGAAGTTCTGAATAATATACTCCGTATTATACCTTGATAAAAGGGTCGGTGGAATCATCAAGAACTTGAACAATGATGCGATCAGACGGCCAAGAAAGGCCACATGCGGCCCCGATGGAAAGCTGATACACCTGCACACCATTTTATATATATTATGCCCCCCAACAAACTTTCCTTCACTTCCCTTTACACTTTACCCAAACCAAAATTTCAATATGTTCTTTCTATTTCTGCTTAGAGACTTTACTTTCACACTAAGTTGCACAGAGATGGGGACGGGAACTTAAAAGGGGACGGGGTCGGTAGCCTGAAACACCAATTTTTTTTTCATAATTTATACAGGATTTGGGTGTGGGGACATCCCCAAGAATCCGACTAGGGACGTTCCCAAGAATTCGACTGGGGACGTTTTGGGACGAGAAGAGACACCTATTTGAACAATTCGGGCAACATAGTTTTCACATTGTACAATTGTTATTCAATACTCCTTTCTTCCCAAAAATATGTCACGCAAAACGCGACAATATTTCAAATATTTTTGAATATGCATGCACATCCGCAAATGAATATTCTGGGAAAAAATCCAGCTAAGGGCGTAAAACTCGATCAAAACATAGGGTGCAAAAGGATATGGCTGAATTCGACATACATTGCATTATTGCACAAAACCATTGTGTAGGGACTAGACAGAAATCACATTAGTGACCCTAGGAAGTAATGGTTATCTTTTTGTTTCTTGCAAAAAAATTAAAAAAGTGTGAAGACCTCTTGGCATTTTATACTTGTGTTCTCCGAAGCTAAAAAGAGCAATTTTTTAAGAAAAATACTGGGTATACACACACAGACAACAATCGTCTGTCTATCCAAGATAATGGTTGCCTACGTGTGTCAGTAACATATTAGTGTAGTGATGTGTGCATCTAACATAACTCATATCCCATCCGTTCCTAAAAGAGCTACGTACGTGATTAGTTACTATTACGGTCTCTCGATAACTCTTACTCCGTTTTTATTTTTTTACCAATTTGTAAATAAAATAATTTTAAAATTTACGAAATTTTCCACAAAAATTCTTTTTTAGGAAGGGAGGAAGTATTGTAATGTAGAAAAGAAATGGATGGAATAGTAGTAGTTGGAATGCATACCTCTCTCTCGTTGAACATGGGGATTTGAACCAGAACGGTGGGGAAATCAGCCGCCGAGCCCCCCAGCTCCACGTCGGCGTCGGCGTCGTCCTCCTTCAACCCCTCGAATTTGTAGCGTTTCTCCGCCTTTCCCCACCCAAACACCCTCACGAAAGCGACCACCACTCCCATGTACACCCTCTCCACGAACAGCATCACCGACATCCCCACACACAGAACCACCGCCATCCTCAGGACCGGCACCACCACCGGGGCCCGCATTACGGCCCACATTTCCCCCACTCCCCCCGGAAATGTCGCCGGCAGAACCCCATCCATCGCCCCCGCCGCCGCCGCCGCCACGGATGATTATTTACGGAAATCCCAGAAGCCCTCTGCTGTTGCTGATGTAATCAATGGCGGGCAGGTTACAGAAGCAGAGCAATGCGGGCTTCTCTGGGTGGAATATAAAATCACTGTCTGCAAGTATTAATAAGAGATGAGAGAGAGAGAGAGAGAGAGAGAGAGACAGAGAAGACTCTCTTTATAGAAAGGGGAAACTCTGTTTTTATTCACTTTGAGGAGTTTTTACATAAAAGTACTGTTTCAACTACTACCAGTAACCGGGTTGGGTTCTACACTTCTACTACACCCTCTTTGGTCAAGTCTTGAGTTGAAATAGTTTTTGATATGATTCAAATAATTTTTGATTTAGTCTAATATGATCTCATTTCAATGTAATTATATTTGACATTATTAATGATCTGATCTGATTTTAATGAAAAAAGTAATAAGAATAATGTGAAGAGGACATGACTTTAGTGTATTTTTTCTAATTCTTTTAGGGTCCGTTTGGTATACGGAATTGATGGAATTAGAATTGAATTGGAATTGAAATTCCATGGGATTTAATTCCATACAATTGAATTTATCAATTCCAATTCATTTTTTGCACTATCAATTCCAAATCCACATAATTATTGTGCTACCAAATACCAGAATTGGAATTGAAGTCCTCAATTCCAATTCTATAGTTTGAATTCCGTGTACCAAACGGGGCCTTAGTGGAATTGGATGAATTTTGAGTTTTAATTATTCTCGATTTGTATTGTATATAAGTACGATGAAACAAAATTTTGAAAATTTTCAACAAGATAAATCTCATAAAATCATTTCATGCCAAAATACTTCATAATTTTATTCTAATTGAATTAAAGATCAAAGTTCATTTTATTTGATTTGAAAAGACGAAACTAGTATTGAATGGAGCAGGAGCCAGGAGGTAACAAAAAAACAAAATAGGTGAAGGTTTTGTATCTCACAGCCGACTAGTAGTAGGGTCTTTTTCCAACTATGGTCCTAAGTCAATTCCAATAGTGAATTCTGCAAATGCTCTTCAATTATAAATGATCCTCTATCATTGCAATTATGTTACTATATCTGCAAACGATCCTATGTAATTGAAGATATTTCATACTCCCTCCCTCCCTAAATATTCACAACATTTGCTTTTTCAACAGTTGCGGGAACTTTTGTTTATTTCGACGTTTTCATTGGTTATTTGATAAAATAAAATATTCTTGACACCTCTTATTTCGAAGATTTTTTCATGTAGTTTTTTTATATGTAAATTTTATATTTTATTTCTTTACCAATATGTAAATAAAATGAATTGAAAAAACTTGATATTTTGTTTCGGGAATGCAAATGTGGCAAATAATTTGGGACGGAGGAACTACTCCTTTAGTTTTAATGTGTTTCTTCCATTTGATTTTTCCTAATTAAATTACACAAACTTTAATACTCTGTAATCAATTAAATAAATAACACATTATATAAAACGGAGCAATAAAATGGAACAATTTTTTTTAAAAAAAAATTGCAATATAAAAGATTGATATATTTGGCCAAACAGGGAACGGTTTATGTTATAAGCCGAATAGGGTACTCCGTATTACTCATCTGGGCCTGTTTTAGATAGCGCTAGATATTAACGTTAGCGTTTTGAATAAAAATTTAACGGTGCAGATTATTTTGTAAACGCTAACGCTATTCTCAAACAGGCTCAAAGATCAATCAATATATTTAGTGAAATCATTTTTGTGGTAATATGTTATTCAATTTTTGTTTAATTATTGATCTGAGTTTGTTCAATATTATTGTAAAAAGATAAATTGAACAAAGATATTGGAACAAAGATAGCATTTAATTTTTAAAAATCAACAATGAGTTTTCTTTGCGGCTTCTTAGGGGCCTTTTTTATCGTTTTCAGTTGGGCCTGTCATAGCGTACATGGAGACACACACGCATGTCTCTACGCATGTGTACAATAGACCCAACACACAAATCCATGAGGATAGAATTTAGTACGAGAGACCATCAAATTTATATGTTGGACATGTTTTTGTTTCTCTTTTAATGTAGGAGAAAACTCCCGACACAACTCTCAAGCTATTGGACGTGGGGTAGTGAAGGAATTCTGAGAGAAAGATGATGAAGATGGCACAAACCACACCCAATAGCCTTATGACACCGGCTTATCAATTTAATGTAGTTTTTAAATCTGTAAATTTAATTTTTTAATTCCACTCCAAGTGTCTTATAAATTGAATTGAAAACAACTTAATTCAAACATGTCATATAAAATGAGACAAAGGAGTACATCTTTAATTGTTTAATGAGAAAGAAGATTGCCCATTGAAAAAGGAGATGAAAGTGCTTTGGAAACAATCCATCAGACAACCATGAGGAACAAACTCACTCAAAAGAATATGAAACACAATGTGATGATTTCTTTACACTAGTATATGAGTGTATGCATCTCTTTGATAATATACTGGACAATGGACAACAAGGCATACATAACTCAAAAAACCAAGCATGATTGAGTGTTCAAACACCCCACCCCCACCCCCACCCCCACAGACCACACAGTGTATGTTCTTATATTTTCAGCCTGGTTTAGAACATTGAAGTGTTCTAATGCAGAGGGGTATATACCCCCACAGAGATGAGCCCATGTTCTTCTGGGGAGGAAAGGTTCTTAATAAGGAACACGAACCCGGACGATGGATGGACCAGACTTCATGTCCTCCAAGATCAGATTTCGTAAAGCCCGGGTTACTATGCCTTCTTTACCTACAAGAAGCAAGCATATATATACATATACATATACATACATATATTTTTATATTGAGCATTAAATTTACCACCACATACACACAGTAAAAAGGGTAAAAAAAGGATTTAAAAAAATATGCTTACCATCACCTATGATCTGGTCATCCCACTGCACCACTGGCTTGACAAGAACACCACTACCAATTAGCATCATCTCACCAGCTCTCTTTCCCTCCTCAACACTCACTTTCTTTACCCTTATGGAGCATAATTCGCCCGTTTTTACCAAATCCTCAGCAAGAGCCAAAACCCGTTTAGCAGTAAGTCCGCGGAGAATTTTCTCAAAGTCGGGCATGAGAAGCTCTTTTTCCTTTGTAACGAAAGCGACATTCATGTTGGGCCCTTCTGCCACAAACCCATCCCCATCCAACCATATTGCTGCATATGCGCTGTTCTCCTCTCCTTCCATCTTTGAAAGCACATTAGGGAGATAATTCACGCTCTTCATCACAGCAAACTGTGGGGGTTTTATTGGGATGGATGAGGTAATGACTTTAACACCCTTGTGATCGTCTTGTGGTGATTGGTCTTGTATCACAATGGCATAGAGAGCGGATTGATGGCAACCCAAAGGGGAGAGTTGGAAGTCGCCCGGTCCTGCAGAAAGCCAGTACCTCAGTGAACCTTTTCTGCACTTGGATGTGCTCACTGTCTGTATTAGTATCCTTCTGATGCTTTCTTTGTCAAGTGGAGGTTTTATTTTAGCCATGACTGCAGACCTCAAGAAGCGCTCAATGTGTTGGTCCAACTCGTAAAGGTGCCTGAGAAAATTGAAGAAGATGACACAATTATTACTAAATGGTCTTCAATGAAACTATCGAGATTAGCATTACAGGGATGTGAATCACATTGGCAACTCCATCAAGTCTCTCAAGAGCAGAAGGCCGGTTTGGCACTAAAGATCTATTACAGTTGAATCATAAGTATATGCAAAAGGCTGTGCAATGATAAAAGATTCGAACTAACAAATGCTCCCTCCCTCTGGATTTAGTTGTCTCTTTTTGTTCTAAAAACAATCAATTTTTATAAAAATGAGTTTTAAAATGTCAAATAAGTTTTTCAAGTAAGTTTCATGCTCATTAATCTTAACAATGCTTATACCCTATCTCTAGGATATTCTAGAGAATTCATTATAAATTCTTTATTTCCAAAGCGCACAAAGTGGAGAACTGATTCCCGGTAAACGGAAACAAGAAAGTAGACAATTAAATCCGGAAGGAGGGAGTAGTTAACTTCTTGTGGTTAAACTAAAATGAATAACCCTCAAAGAGTCTCATACCCAAATGCCACCAAAGGATGATGGGTTGGTAAGATTTTAGGTTTAGTTAAATCAAATTATATCAAGGGCAATCATCCTATAAGTCGCCGAAACGAAACAGGACATAAGAACTAACCCATCTATAATTGCAGCAGTGTCAAAAACTCCATGCCCTCTATGCACCATGTGATCGTCCATAGGGATGACCATAGCTGCTGTATCAGTCACAATTCCTCCAAAAATGCTAGAGTACATTGCCACATAGCTCTGCTTCTTTGGGTACCTCTCTCTGCTTGCTCTTAGCCTCTCAATGGCCTAATGACAAATAAATGGTTACTTTTTTTTTCACAATTAGGCTTTTCGAAAAACAGTAAGTTTCTTGAGAATTGAACTTGTGATCTTGGGTCAGAAAGACCTGGGTACAATGCCAATGACCAACCCAACCAAAAATTTTGTGTTTGGAGGCTGGGGAAAAGTGTTATATTCTAACAAAATAGGGACTTGAGTGAAGCGGACCTCATAGCAGGTGAGATGGGTAACTTCAGATGTTTGAATGGCTTGTGCCTCTGCCATGAAACCCCCCCAAAGAAAAAAGATACATTTTTGAATCAGATCTTCTTAAAGAAACAAAAAATACAACAGAAATATACCTGGAGAAGTTTGGGTTTGATTTGGATTAAGGGCAGAAGTTGATGGAATGGAGGAATTGGGGAGCCCATATCCGGAAACTGAGAGGCGACGTGGGGGTTTGGCTTTCGAAATTCTGAAGAAGAGTGGGGTTCTTGAGATGGTGAGGGATGGTGAGAAGGACGCCATTGCTCAATTTCTCAGCCTCTCAGGCAACTGCAAGCATTCCCTTGGATGCTTGTTTATTTATTGTTTGCTGTCTCTTCTTGCCTCTTCGTTTTTAAGTGAATACCGAGTAATGAACTATAGCAATACAAAATGAAATTATGTTTGTGGCATCCCACCATTTGTATTTTGTACTCCCTCCGTCCTAACATTAATTTCTCATTTTAACTTTTGAAGTCAAAGTTTTTAAACTTTGATTGCATATTACGGAAAAAATATATTGAATTTGTATAAAAATTTGGTATCAATAGATTCATTTTGAAATATAGTTTTGAAATATATTATTTTGATAAGATATATTCATAGAAAAATAGAGATATTAATGATCAAAGTGCCGCATTGGAGACCGTGAAAAGTCAAATGGGAAGTTAATTTTAGGACGGAGGGAGTACAATATAAATGATTTATTGAATAATTTCATTTTTAATAATTTAATATATAAGATTTATTGAAATTTTTTATATTTAGTAATTTTATTTTTTGATTAAAAATAAAAGTTTAATCCCATGTCAATTGTTATTAAATGGAGTCTAACTCATAAATCAATTGCCACATAATATGTCTCATATTATGCCACCTGTCAAGCTCTTATGCATCGTTAGTTTCTTTTACTCCGTATAACATAACTAGTATTTTTACCCGTGCAACGCACGGTGTCGAACAAAATTTTTATTGGTTCTAAAACTTTTTTAATGCAATATTTTTTCCCAGAATAAAGAAAATATATTTCCCTATGATTTTTAATACTATATACAAAAATTCCAAAGTAGAATAAACAATATTTGAGAAATTGAATGTGTAATCAACCAAGTTTTTTTTAATACCAAACTTTTTGAAAGACTGTAGGGTATATAATTTTTTTGATATTGTTGCAAGGGTATCATTGTCATCTAGAACCAATATTTTTAATTGTGTTCTTGTCTTCTCTCATGGAACCATAACATAAAGCTGACCATGAGTAAATACCAACTTGGTTAAAAGTAATGCAAGAAATGACAATGTTTGACTTTGACTTTTGTTGATAGTCATTGCTAAATATAGGACTATTGAGATTTGCCTTATAAATAACTTCAAGAGTAGTTCTAGATCAGATGGTATCAATTTCATTTGGAGTATGTAAACTTTTTGCTGACTCGATTTCTCAAAACCACAATAGACCAACAACATTCTTTCACAGCTCTTCAAGGATTAATTGTGTACCATTACATAATCCATATATTTGGTCAATGTTTCTCAATATCAAAATCGTTAACCCATTTTTAAGATTATTTTGTAGTTTTGGATCCCCGAACATTTGATTTCATTTAAAATTTAATTGTTATTTAATTGTCATCAATAATTACATCTGAATCGACCTGACATGAAGAATCAAAACTCAGGCACACCATTTCATATTAGGGAATGAGTGATATGACAAATTCATTTACCATTTCTACAACCTCAAGCATGGTCTAGTAGTGCCATAAGGATTTTTTACTTATTTAAAAGTATGAGAGGTTATCCAAGTTAATCCTATTCACTTCAGGTGATATGAGAAGTGTTTTATTGAACACAGATCTTAATTATTAAATACGCCTTAAAATTCCAGTCAACAAAGTAGTTAGTGAACAGATTCAAAAAGTAGAGATTGAAATTAATAGGTTAGTCTTTTTTAAACACACACCTATCTGGGATAAAGGACATAGAAGAATGTAATATCATATTCTTCGCTAACATATAAATTTTAAAATACGACCATAATTTTAAAGAATAGATGATAGCACTCACAATTTTCTCTCTTGAAGTTTTTGGTAAAGAAGAAGAGTTTGCCAAAAATCACCTCTGAGTACAACTATTTTTCCTTCGAGTCCTACTTTTTCCCCTCCGAATTTAACTATTTTCCCTCTAAATGGTTCATTTCTAGAGTTTTTATTAGAGAAATTCATTACATCTCTTATTTTGTGATCCAGCACCTTAAAATAAATCTATTCATCATACATGCTACATCCCATATTATTAGAATTACTTGTTGGATTAGTTCTGCTTTCGGACTCTCTTGTTTGATGGCACACGCTATGCAATCGCCCAAAGAGATTGAGAATCTCAAGTGTAATTTCATTCACCCATGTCCTTCCCCCATGAACAAGTAATGCTGCAATACAAATGGATGTGACATTCAAGACAATCCTTATCATTTGACATTAGAGAAATAAACACTGATTTCCATAAAAAAAAATATTTTTTCAGTTCTACTGTAACCATATATAAAAAAGAAACCTCCTCTTTCAGGTGTCACAACTTCCATTATCTCATCGTATATATTGTGCTGATATTCATTCATCGTAGATAAGTATCTCACAAGATCATATGCAAACTTTTCTTTTTCACTTTTATAATGCAAAATCATTCAAGCTCTGATAGTATTCTCGTCAATATACAAAATGTTTTATCAAAATACAAATAATTATAAATTTGAAATTATATTGCTCTTTGATGTGGTTGTAACTTGTAACTTAGTCTCGATCTTATTAGTCTCCATTCGGATTTAATATTTTTCATTTGACTTTTCTTGGTCAAATTTTGTATACTTTAACCTTGTTATATAGAAAAAAGGAATCTATTCATGTTTAGTAGCTAAATAATAAATTTTGGAGTTCCGATCAACAAAATTGGAAATCTGTTCTCGTAAGCTCCGCAAAGAATATGGAAAATAATATAATTCACCAAAAAAATGCTATCAATTTCCTTTTGAAATAGATTACTAATGATGCACTCCCTTAAACTTACCAAATGAAGTGTGAGTGCATCATTAATTACACAATAGTTTTAACAATTTCACCTATCTACACTATAGAAGAAAAAAAGAAAGGTATGCAAAGAAGTTCCCAAGAAGTTGAAGGAAAGATGATGATTTTGTAAAATAAAAAAAGATATATAAGGTAATATAAGTGTAGAAGGAAACTTTTGGTAGTTATTACTCCATATATATTACTATGTATATATTTCCTAAACAAAACTAAAAAAATCACTCAAATAGAAGTAAGACATAAATCTTATGCCCAAAATAAGAGTTCAATATTTTTATTTCCTAAATAAAGTTTACACAGTGACGTTGTGGCACTGTATATTACCATTTCATAATGTTTTTAGCACTATATAATAAAATATTGGTATTGTTGTTAATATTTTGGAGATAAAAGATATGAAACTCATATTTTGGCACTTTCTCCATATTTTAATCTTATTTTAGTTTTTTTCCCAAATAATTATAGTGGCACTTCGTAATCCGTATAGGTAGCGGATGATTTATTAAAATGTTGTCATATAGACTCTGACTCACCACTTATTGTAATTCTATGAGTTTAACTCTTAAATTTAATATATAAAGATAAAGATTGGCCTCGATATATGAAAAAACAATTTTTGTTTATCTATAAATGCAATATCAATAATCTTTTTTAAAACGTTGGTTTGAAATATGAATTTTCATAAGATACGATAAGTATAAATATTGATATTAATGATCAAAATATTATATTGGAGAGCGTTAAAAGTTAAATGAGAAGATTAAATCTACTTATACAATGAGCAGTTTTAACATGGTCCTTTTTTTCAAGATATGTAGCAACCAAACCCATTCTTTTTGTTTAGCATAAGACCACTAACCTAAATATAAAATTAATAAAATTCATTCAGAGAAGTAGGTGCATAATTAATTATTTCATAAAAATGGATGAATCTAAATCACTTTTTTATGCAAAAATATACTCCCTCCGTCCCTCATAAATCTTCTCATTAATCCTTTTTATTTGTCCACCATAGATCTTCTCATTACCTTTTTTAACAATTAAAATATATACCACAACTATTCCCACTTTATTTATTCCCACCTCACCTACCTCATTTAATACACTCCACCCATTTTCATTAAGAGTATTATGGTAAACTTTCACATTTTTTCAACTCTCCTTAAAAACCACAAAAAGTCAAAATGAGAAGATCTTAAGGGGACGGAGAGAGTAATTCTAAATCCAAAAATAGAAAGTGTTCTTTACCCCCCCCCCCCTTGACGTATATATGGTAAATAAATTGGTATGTTTAAATAATTCTAAAAACTTTATTCATTAACTGTCTCAGTTCGCTTTGCTGTCAAATGCTTGAATAATTATTTATATAAATATATAATGAATTGAAATATTAAAAGTTAGACTATAATCTCAAAATAAAAAATATGTTTGATAAAAAATTTCATTGGTCAAACATATCATTCGAAAAATGAACCGGGTGTTAAAAACAATAGAGTTACTAATTCTTAAGATTAACTGCATGAAACTAAAAAGACAAATAATTTAGTCACTATAATCAATCAATAAAAAATAAAGTAAAATAATGTCAAATCAGTACTCCGTATGTTGATTAAAATTACCAACTC